CTGGTGCTTAGTAGGGAATGGGGGTATGGATCCCTATGATAGTCCCTTAAGGTCCCCTATTGTAGTCCCTATAACCCATTCCCCCATTCCCTACTAAGCACCAGACAGGAGGGAGAGCCTTCCGTGAGAGCCCTCTTGTCCTCTAACCGATCCTGACACTTCAGAACCTGAGAATCCAGCACCGAGAGCGCAAAATTCACCCCCCTAACCAAGGCATGTATCTTAAACTTATTGGGTTCCTTCATACCCAAAGCCCTAAACCCTAAACCCTAAACCCCTAAACCCTAAACCCTAAACCCCAAACCCTAACTCCTTGAGGCCTCCTGGGCTCTTTGGGTGGCCTTTGAGCCTTCCCAGAGACTCCAATACCCCTTAATTAAAGAAAATTCCTTAAATCATATTAGGGATCCTATTACAATTTAAGGTATATTCCTTAATTAAGGGATCCTAAACCCTAAACCCTAAACCCTAAATCCTAAACCCTAAACCCTAAACCCTATTGGAGTCTCTGGGTTGCTTGGGGCACATCTTCCGCCCCAGCCTCCGAGCGCTCGCCGCCGAGCAAGCACAGGAGCCTCCGAGGCTTTGGGAATGTTTTTTCTGGTTTAGGGTTTAGGGTTTTAGGGTTTAGGGTTTAGGGCTTAAATTTGGGGTTTAGGCTTTAGGGCTTAAATTTAGGGTTTAGGGTTTAGGGCTTAATTTTTGGGACTTTCTCTGGTTTTGGTAGGGGTCTAGGGTTTCAGGGCTCAAATTTAGGGTTAGGGTTTAGGGTTCAAAATTTAGGGTTTAGGGTTTAGGGCTTAAAATTTAGGGTTTAGGGTTTAGGGTTCAGGGGATTATGGTTGAGGGGGTTCAGGGATTTTAGGGTGTCAGGGCTTAGGGTCGCCCTCGGTTGCCCAGGCTCGGGCTCGGAGTCTCGGGGGGACAAACTCGAAAACTCAAGAAGCGAACTTTGTCGGTCAGGAGATAAACTTGGAGTTTAGGGTTTAGGGTTTAGGGTTGAGGGGACCCCCAAATCCTAAAGCCATGGGTTAGTTACAAATGACAAATATGATTGAGTCGGCCTGTATGTCGGAGGTCAACAGGGCCAGCGCTCTTCGGACTACTATAGTATAGTAACTGAGAGCACCTGAGACAGTCTCAGGCCTGCACAGTGCGAGAATTGCTAAAGTACAGAAGATCGCGCACCTTGGAACATAGCCAGACCCTCGCCGGCCTACTTACAGCACCACAGCGCCGTGCCGCATTGCGGTGTTCTTTGGCACCACAGCAAAAATCCTCAAACGAGGCATGGTAAGCACCATAACCCTCGTAAGACAAGCAATGAGTGATCCTTGCAACAGTGGCCAGGACCATACCCACAATAACAGTATCGGCACACATCTTTACGAAAGATACCATGTCACCACCATGAACGGGAAGCTTCTGCTGTCAGGCTCAGTTTTTGCAAGCAAGTTGCCCTCAGCGCCGTCAAAGCGAAGAGCTGCTTCTCCTGAGAAAGCCAACCGAAGAGTGCTTCAGAACATCCCCCTTTTTCGGGACCTACCTGACAGTCCAGTTGCTGGTCACTTCCAGTCACCAAACCACAAACCCTTCGTGGCTTCTAAGGCCGTTGATTGAGGGCTTTAGGGCTGCGGCTTCTAAGTCCCAGGTGTGGCGCAGTCCCAGCAGGGGCACCTCGCAACTTTCCGCACTGGCGGGAAGCGTCGCGACCAGCGATGCGATCTTGGCATCCGACTGAACCTCCTGTCAAAGTTGACCATGATGCATGAAGAAAGGTAGGATTTAAGGATCCCTTGCAGAAGGACTCTGATTTTGGGTTACCCTTCCCTGGGTGCACACAAAGTGACGTTCAGGGTTTAGGGTTTAGGGTTTAGCAGAATCTCTGGGGAGGTTAAGACATATTCGGATGCCGTGAAATGCTGTGTCTCACGACATGCGTCGATGTCAGCGTGAATGAGGCTTCCTAGTAACTACGCATCGGTCGACTGATTGACATGGCAACGTTCTTACCATCTCGCTACCAATGATAAAATGCATTGCCATAACTGATTCCCCGTGATTGTCCTTATCTTATCAGAAGGGACTGTCCTGGGGCCTGTGTTTTACCAGTCTAGATATTTTACATAGAACATGATAATCTTTGTGGGACTCTCTATCTTCTGACTCTACCCTATGAGTGTACCCGGCGTCCTTCCGGGCCGCTTTTGGCTGCCCGGGTTTTGATGGCGCTGAGAGGTCCACCTGCCATATAGGCAGGACCGGGCTCTGAGTTCCGAAGGTATGGCTCTATCACCCAAGGAGAAAGTTTTGGGTTTGGCGGTTTAGGGTTTAGGGTTGAGGGTTGAGGGTTTAGGGTTCAGGGTTTAGGGTTGAGGGTTCAGGGTTAAGACCCCTACTACCCACTGCACTCTCAGGCCCGCCGCAGAGTTCATGTCAAGGAGGCGTGACAGCTTAGGGTTGAAGGCGGCTTGGGGTTCAGGACCTTTCAAACGGTTTGGAGTCCCAGTAGCTCCCTTCTGTGTGCACTCGGGAAGGGAGCTGGAGATCTGTTGATGGAACCGCAGGCAGGACAAAAAATTCCGGCAAGGGAAACCCTGAACCCTAAACCCTAAACCCCTAAACCCTAATCCCTAAACCCTAAACCCTAAACCCCTGGAGCCTGGTAGTGCTCCAACAGGGCATCTGGGATGCCCCCCGAGAAAGCACCATGGCGTATAAGGCACACCTCAGGTTTTTGTCGGCTCTCGAGCCAGGCCAAGAGTTTCTTACGCCGTACACATCCGACATGATGCGAAGGAGGACTTGAACAGGGTTTAGGGTTTAGGGTTTAGGGTTTAGGGTTTAGGGTTTAGGGCTTAGGGTTTAGGGGGATGATGATGATAATAATGATGATGATGATGATGAATTTGTGCTGTTGTTGTTGTTGTTGTTGTTGTTGTCCCTCTTCCTCCTGCTTCCTCCGTTCTCCAGCAACCCTCCTCCCTTCCTGGTCGCAGAGATACTGCAGAAACGGTATAACATCACAACTACAATACGAGTGAGAGCATCGTCACCATGGTACTGGCTGCTTATTGCCTTAGTGGCTTACTGATGCATTAGTATTGCGATGCATCTGATGGACCCACTGTCTGTGGTCTCCGGACAAAGACGACGCGCGAGAGAAGGACGGCTTTCTTTACCCTTTTCTTCCGAGCTTCTGCTGCCTCCTCGTGGCCGTTTGCCACAGCCCACTGGAGAGCTGTCCTGCACGTTTCAAAACACCCTCTTCAGCATCATGGCGCCTTCATCAACACCTGCAAATCGAGGCGACCTTCAACATCCCAGAAGGCACACCCGCATCAGACGGTCGCCTGAAAGAGAGAAGGGAAAGGATTTCGAAGCCCCTACACCCTAAACCCTAAACTCCTAAACTCCTAAACTCCTAAACCATCCTAAACCCAAAGCCCTAAACCCTAAACCCTAAACCCTAAACCCTAAACCCTAAGCCCTAAGCCCTAAACCCTGAAACGCCTGAAGGACACGGAGCTCAAGATCAACGAGACTTCTGAGTTCTATCGGCCAACA